TCTGCGTGTGCCCCCCTTGAGCTTAGAGACCCCCTTGGTGTCACCGTGTGCCCCCCTGGGTTTGGGGACCCCTTTGGGGTCTGCGTGTGCCCCCCTGAGTTTGGCGACCCCCCCTGGGGTCAGTGTGTGCCCCCCTGAACCAAGGGGAGGTTTGGGGACCCCCCTGAGCTTTGGGACCCCCCTGGTGTCAGTCCCTGTGGGGTCCATTTCCCCTGACCCCAATGTCCCCATGGGGCTCTGTCCATCCCCCCTGACCCCAATGTCCCCATGGGCTCTGTCTACGCCCCCTGACCCCAATGTCCCCATGGGGTCCGTCCATCCCAATGTCCCCATGGGGTCTGTCCACCCCCCTGACCCCAATGTCCCCATGGGCTCTGTCCATTTCCCCTGACCCCAATGTCCCCATGGGGTCTGTCCACCCCCCTGACCCCAATGTCCCCATGGGCTCTGTCCATTTCCCCTGACCCCAATGTCCCCATGGGGTCTGTCCACCCCCCTGACCCCAGTGTCCCCATGGGGGGGGTCTGTCCCCCATGAGGTTCCCATGGGGGCTCTGTCCACCCCCCTGACCCCCGTGTCCCCAGGGGCTCTGTCCACCCCCATGTCCCCGTGTCTGCAGGTGGTGAAGGTGCGGCCGCAGGACAAGGACGCGCAGCTCAAGTACCAGGAGTGCCACCGCGTGGTGAAGCAGAAGGCGTTCGAGCGCGCCATCGCCAGCGACGAGCACAAGCGCTCGGTGGTCGACTCCCTGGACATCGAGAGCATGAGTGAGCCCCCGGATCCACACACCCACCTCGGGAGGGGCCCGGGGGGGAGGGCCACATGGGGGTTTTGGGGTCCCTATGAGAGGCTTGAGGGGGTCTGAGGGGCGCCATGGGGTCCTGGGGGCCTCTGTGAGGATCCCGAGCAGAGTCTTAGGGTCCCCATGGGGGTCTTGAGGGGCTCCATGAGGGTCTTGAGGTCCCCACAGGGGTCTTGGGGAGTCCCTGTGAGAGGCTTTGGGTCCCCAGCAAAGGCTCAGTGTCCCCATGGGGATCTTCAGGTCCCACTGGGGATCTTTTGGGGTCCCTATGAGAGGCTTGGGCTCCCTATGGGGGTCTTGGGAGGTTCCCATGAGAGGCTGAGGGGTTCTGAGGGTCACCATGGGGGTCTTGGGGGGCTCTGTGAGGATCCCTAGCAGAGTCTTAAGGTCCCCATGGGGGTTTTGGGGCTCCCTATGAGAGGCTTGGGATCCCCATGGGGGTCTTGGGAAGTCCCAAGCAAAGGCTCAGGGTCCTCATGGGAGTCTTGGGGGTCCCTGTGAGAGGCTTTGGGGTCCCCATGGAGTCTTCGGGACCTCATGGGGACCTTGGGGGGGTCTGTGAGGGTCTCCAGGGGGGTCTTGAGGCCCCTTTGAGGGTCCCCGTGGGGGTCTTGGCGAGCCCTATGAGAGGTTTTGGGTCCCCATGGGGACCTTTGGGGCTCTGTGAGGGTCCCCATAGGGGTCTTGGGGGGGGCCCATGAGGGTTTTAGGGTCCCCATGGGGGACTTGGGGTCACTATGAGAGTCTTGGGGGGACTGAGAAGGTCCCTATGAGGGTCTTGTGGGTCCCCATGAGGGTCCCCTTGGGGGTCTTAGGGTCCCTATGAGGGTCACGAGGGTCCCATGAGGATCTTGGGGTCCCAGTGAGGGTTTTGGGGGTCCCATGGGGGTCTCGGTGTCCCCACGAGGGTCCCCTGGTGTCCCCGTACCCCATGGGGGGGTGTGTGTTGATTTTGGCAGCCATCGAGGACGAGTACAGCGGCCCCAAACTGGAGGGGGGCAAAGTCACCCTGGGCTTCATGAAGGAGCTGATGCAGTGGTACCGGGAGCAGCGCAAACTGCACCGGAAATGCGCCTACCAGGTACCCCTGGACCCCAAAATACCCCCC